TCAGTTTCATCTTTAGCAGTTAATGCTCCGTTACTTTCACTTGTGACAAAATCATCCAATTCCAAAGAACAAAGCAGAAGACGCTTTCCGACAACAACCAGCTGATCGTACATGTCATCATCGTTTATGCCACAGAGCTGAAACGTTATAATAAAGAGTAACTACAAAGAAACAACGTTCTTTAAACTATACAAAAAAATTCCTACAGCAGCAAACTTAAAACATTTATGAAATTCCTCAATCCTTTTCAACTGTAACAATCAGCTCCTCCATTCAACAGTCCTCTGATCTAGAAAACTTCTTATAGCTTTCCATTACCCTCTTACAACTGTGCTCCGTACTAAAGTAGCAGCTAAGCTGTTCACTTTCAATATTAAAAATCCATTTTAAAAGAAGAATTCAGAAGCTTTTCATTTCAAAAAATGTTCGAAAAACACTTTTACAGACCACTACCATCATTCAAGATCCAAGAATGAATGTTTCTATTCTCCAAAAAATTTTAACCAAGAACGTATGCAATAAAGTATAAGGCATAAATAAAAACGTACAGAAACTGCTGATTTTTTGAGACTCCGTATTCTCTCCCCATAAGTTTGTAAAATGAACTAACCGAAAAAAACTTAAGCAAAACTGAAATACAATCTATTCCAGAAAACAAAAGAATTAGGCCTCCGTTAAAATGATACGACCCAATTACTGATAATAAAACTTATGCGATTGATTCTTTAAAAAACCTGCGGTAGCAAACTTCACTAAATGCTACCTTATCAAATAAGTCTTTAGTGCTCAAAAGTCTCGCAATCCAGCCAATCAGGGCAAACCGATAATGCCTTAGTTTTTGTACAGAATGTTTTGAGCGGTCAAACAACTTTTCATAGAAACAAGAAGTCGGAGTAGCCTTCTTTTTACGTTCTGTGTCAACTGTGTCATTCCCCATAAAAACTAGATACTCCACCAAGTTTAATGCGCATAATAGCTGTTCTGCGCCGCTAAATTGAGAAACCATCTCATTGGCCATTTCTTCATACTGCTCTACGTTTGCTCGACCTATAAAAGTTAAATAAGCAGAGATTTTACCATAAATAATACATAATGATGCAAAAATGCATAGCTACGACGGAAAAGTAAAGTAACTACATCAGTCAGTACCTTTGCCGAGATGACTTCGCTGCCAATTCACACAATACTGTTCAAATAGTACAGCAATAACTGTCCACACGTGCGATGCAGTCGCCGCCTTGGAAACTGCCTTCAAAACACGCTGCCTTCGATGAGCTGGAATGTCGGCAACCGAAGCAGCAAAAATCCGAGATATAGAGACAAGACGATCGCAGAATACCTTTTCCTTCAAAAAACCATAATACCAATAGAAAAAATTACTCATTTTAGTTTCTTAAAAAGGTCCATTAAAAAAAATTAAAAAATCGACTTCACGCGAGATCACTAAGAAAAACATTATAAAAAAGAATATTTCACAGCTTACATCACCAGTAACAATGGCGGAAAAAAGAAGGCTTAATGTTTCTTCAATGGTAGCAAGAGTTAACTCATTGTCCTTTTTCAGCAGACCTGAACCCATGAAGGTAAAGAGAGACATTATTTTGGTGAGAACATCTGCCTAAATGTAAATCAGCCTTGAACGTATAAAACTGAAAAGTACTTTTTAGGGCTCATAATCAAAAAAAAAAAAAAAAAAAGAGAAACGATTCGTATGGAAAATATTTTTAACAAAAAATTATCAGATTCAGCTTGTCTTAGAAAAGTATAAATTATTCTGCAGTTAGAAAAACCTTAAACAAAGATTCTGAAAATCACATTAAATTACCGGCGACACTTTGACAGCCGCAGCCAGTAAACGTAAACAATCGCGAAGTGTATGTTGATCCATAGTATTCCGAACCGCTTCCACAACATAATCCATTTCTAGATCTTCCTTCTTTACCACGTAGTTAACTTGAAAAAAATTTTCATCGTTGACTACAGCAGGTACTTCACCCTTCACTATTAAAATAAGGCCTAGATCACCAAGAAAGCATACCAGGACTGTTTATAATCCGCACAAGAAAAGAAAATATAAGCCTTTCCAAATAGCCTTTAGTTTTATCGTCCTCTGCTCCCCGCTCCATCAAACTAGAAAAGTTGTAAGTGAGATAAATGGTTGCCAACGACTATAAGTCCTAGAAGTGTTTTTTCCGCATAGCTAAGTCAGGAAAAGCCAATAAAACCTCATACAACTTACTCCCTCAGTAGCGAGAAAACAGCAGATAGCAGGTTGGAAGAAGTATTCACAGAGTTACTTGCATTAAATACTTCCAAAACAAAAACCACACGCTTCTGAAAATCAGACTGGTTTTCATTTGCGAAGTAAGGTGCTTGGCTAACGCGACGCCCACGTGCTCGTTTCTGCAACGGTTCCTGACTGTCCTTCTTTATTAGCGTACAGGCAAAATCACCAGTTATTGGAAGCTGAATAAAAAGTTCATTTAAAACAAGAATCAAAATAGTGAGGCACTCTGCTATCCGTTTTAATGTAGAACGAATGTAAAGACATATGACTTTACCTTGGCTAGAGCATCGCGAATATTCGGTTTGATTGGAAGAGCACTAGTAGTGGCACACTTTATCATCGTTACAATAAACGCCTCGAAGTCATTTGCTTCATACTGCTTTATAAAGTTTTTAGTAGACAATTTCTAAAAGCTTTCTAAAAGATGAATGCAAAAAAAGCCTTGCCAAATTATCAGTAATAATTCATTACGAAATTCTTTTTGCAACCCCTCAAAAGCTGTCTTACAGAATGACCTACCACTAGGACAAATAAAGTCTAATACACCATAAAGCTTTAAGCACAAGAACATTAAAAAACTAGAACTAGAGTGAAGAACAACCTCAAGGCCCAAAGAAGCCTCCTCCCAGTCCTCTTCCTCAATAAGTGGTAGGAGCTTTTCTAAAGGATTCCCATGAAACTCCTTCCGCAATGGACCACGAAGAGCGTCAACTTGACTTTCCTAAAAATAAAAATAAAATACATTCGAATGAAAAATTCTACCAAAACGCAAAAAAAAAATGCCTATAATTTTTCACCTAATAAAGGTTACACTAACAGTATTCCTAAAATGCCTATTACTACAGATGTTATTACATCTGAATTCATGTTAAACATTACAAGCGGATAAAAAACAAAATATCCTACTCAAATTCGAACGCGGTCATATTAGAGTGGGTTGAAAAGTGTCGAATATATAAGATTATAGAAGTCAAAACTAAAAAAATTACGACCACTCGCAGTTGGATTAGTTTCGATTTGGAAACACGTCCCTTTCCATCCTCCAAACCTTCATTTTTATCCAGACTTTTCCGATAACTACTGCTAGAACGACGACGTCGTTTCTTTGGAAGAGGGACTTCTCCTAATAAGTTACCAACCTAAAAATTGTGTCAAAAACTTTGAACATACATTGAATAAAAACTTTGAGCCTCAACAGCAGAAATAGAACTAAGAACACACCAAACCATCTCCGATTGTCATTTACTGCAAACATAAAAATCAGTATTTTAGTCTCAATCAGCATAAGAAACAATAGAAAGTCAAATCTTAAAAAAAAATTTTCATTACATTCTTCCAAAATACATGTATTTACAACTGTAGTTAGAAAACACAAACTTCTCGATGGCAATGTTATAATTAATATATCAACGCAATGAAGTTTTCTAAACGACTTACCTCATGAGCCTCAACCTTAAAAATGGTTAAAAATCTTTCAACTACGTCTTTCTCCCTTAGTTTCCACTCAACACAAACTGAGTCGAATTGCACACCAAATCTAAAAAGTTTATAGTAGACTAGTGTTACACAAACGCTTATTTTATCTTTCTCTAAGAACCCACTCCTGAGGAAAAGTATATTAGAAGTTCCTTTCAAGCACCTCTTGTTAAACATTAATGCCTCCGAAACATCAAAAGAACGGATGACCATTAACAAATAAAGAACACACCTTAAAACTAACGAACGAACATGTTTGCGGAAGTCCTCTGGATAAACTTCTTTTTTATCAATACTAACAAGATTTTCAAAAATTAAGTTGAAAAACACTGATATCAACTCCTCATCAAGGATTTCAGGGTCAGAACAACGGATCAAGAAAGTGCTCAACTTTTCTTGCAGATCGTTATCGTCGACTAAAAGACTTAAAAGCCATTCAAAACAAAACAAAGAAAACATAGAAAACTGGAATAATAAAGTTATAATTTCTCATTAAAGTTTACAAACCGTTTTCTTGAAAGAAGGGAAGTGCCGTATGCCAAAGCGCAGAAAGAAATTTTGTTACATCAGTCTCATGACTTAAAGAAACAACATGAGGGGTAATCTGTAAATCATCTTCTTTCCGTACCAGCTTTTTCACACCTCTAAAAGATATGACCAACTAAAGGAAAACAATCCTCGATATTTAAAACACATTCAGCTAAAAAAAGAAAAAAAAAGTTACTTTAGCGGCAGACTTTTTATTTTTTGCCTCTGACAGATCAAGATGATAGTGGCGACACTTGAATGCAATGTTTTGGAATTAATTTTCATCATTATCAACTTTAGCAATGAATGAAGGATCTCCTGTGTCAGGGAGACAGATATGCATAACTGGGATAAAACCATGAGACCCTCAAGTCGCAATGACATTAGTTTTGACCTGAACTTAGGAAAAATATAGTATTATACTCGATTTACATCAAAAATGAATGTGGTGGCCACTGTTAAAAATGGGTATCTCAAACGGTCAGTAAAATGCTAGTGAAGGTTAAAATAGGGTCCAAGATAGCTTTCATCCTCTAAAAACAAAAAACTTTTACAGAAGACCAAATTCCTTCCAACGTGTAATAAACAAAAAATAAATTAGAGGAAAACGAACTTCAAACTGGTTGCAAGAAAAGGCAAGATTTTCGAAATGAGGCTGTCATTAATCTTTGACGAGTCACTGACCAGATAAATTTCGAGTTTTGCATATAAAGCGAAATAATGCGAAAGATTTCTTTCGACATAATCTTCACCAACGAGCTGTTTTACAACAAAATATAAAATGTTAAACAAAACTTTTTTAAGTTATTTAAAAATTTAATTTGAAAAAAATTAAAACGACAACCTAAATTATCTTGATGATCCACCTTAACACCTACCATAATAGCCTCTTCTATGTTTTGGCATATCATCGATAACAAAGAATGATTCGCAGAATAACATTTTGCAACCAGGGATTCGAATGGTATTGGTGCCTCTGCTTTCCCGTATTCTCTGACCCAATCATACTCTATTCCCTTCAGATCGAGAATTGAGAGTAACCGAGCAAAAACCTTCGTATTATGGAAGGGGAGAAAAATTATAAAGAGTTTTTGCCCGTTGAATGAATGAATCTAAATTGTTTTTACCAATTAATCTAAAAGTCCTGCAAAAGAAAAAGAAAGAGATGGAGCAAAGAGTTGGAGACCAAATATTAAATGGTCAAAATAGAGCATTTCTAAAGCAGAAACTCAACAGTGGCAATTTAATTACGCAGAAAAAATACTTTGCTACCTAAACAAAAAAATTACCTGAAAGCGGAATATAAGCCACTCGAGGACTTGTTGAGTTGCGAAATGAAGTAAATACGGTGATATCCGAATCAAAACCCTTTCCAAAACTTTATCCAATTTTTCATTCTCTGCCCTAGAAAGAACAGCTCGTTGCACAGTTAATGCTGTATCAGCAAACAATTCCTCCTCATCATCTTCCATTATGATCATTGGATCAACCTTTCGTAGCTGTGCAATACCAGACCGGCCTTAATACGTACTTTTCAAAACAGAATTTCATTGAAAATGCTGAATTAATAATTTAAACCTATCAATTTCTCTTAACTTTTCCAGTTACAGGGATCACCACAGCAAATGTACAACATCGATCCTCTTTCTAGCAAAGAACTGGTAACGTAATACCAATACCAATCCATCAATGACAAAATTAATTATCACCGACAAATTTTTACCAATCTTTAAAACATCTTCTTTGTACAATGCTGCGGCTTCTTTACGGTCAAATAGAAGAGAAACGTATGGTCGCTCAACACCAAGTTGCGACGAAGCCGCAACTTTGAGACCTTCAAGCTGCCGGGATAAAGATGTCATCCGAAAACGTCTCAAATACTAGTAATTTTACAGCATAAAGGGAAGAACGTGAAGGCCTAAAAAAGCAAGCACTTTCAAGATACTCTTCCACAAGAAACAACAAAATGAACTATAGATCACGTTTTAAGAATTCCCGGCAATACACGCAATTTTAGACACTGCTGCAAAATTTCTGAAAGCTAAGTTTCAAAATTAATCATACAAGAAGTTCCATTTGTTCCTCTTCACATAATAAATTATGGTTACTAAATACCATAAGCAGTTTGAAAAATATGCCCTGAAAAGAAAACACAGAGAATACAAACATTCTTTTCCGCAAAAAATTTTGAACATTATTAAACCTTAACTTTTCCAACTAATTGGAACTGAACTCTAATGACCAGAAATTTAGAAAAATTTTACTAGCTAGTTTAAACTACAGGGTGACTAAGAATTACACCACGATAGCCTAATACAATTCCTCTATCTAAATAAAGAAATTTACTACGAAACCGGCAAGAAAGCTGCTTTTTCTTTTCAGTCTCCAATTTTCATCAACCAAACTATTTATTTTTCACTGGCTTAGGATTTCCAACAACCAGGAAAAAAAGGTAGCAATAACACAAAATAAAGCAATGAAATTCCTACAAATCTTCCAGCGGTAATCGGATCGTTAGATGACACCCCATGATGCCAACTGCAGCTCAGTCGGTGTTCATCCACCGCTTCTTTTAAACACTAAAACATTTTCCTAAAATTTTTCCCAAATTAAATGATCTTTAGCTAACTATATGTTTATTAGAAAATACGGAGCTTATACTTAAAATATTATTTACCTCACCCAGCATCATTTTACAGGAAGGTTTTCAAAAAATTCATATATTCAAAGAATTTACTGCCAGCATGCTGAAAAAACGATCCGTACATGATGGATATACAAATATATGTTTGCAAACACACAAGATTCTTAAAAAA